ATACACACACACATGTAAATACATATATATGTAAATACATACATATATATGTAAATACATACATATATATGTAAATACATATATATAAAATATATATAAATAAATATATAAATATATAAATACATATATATATACATATATGTGTATATGTGTGTGTGTGTGTGTGTGTGTATATATATATATATATATTAAAGGGCTACACTATAAACATCCTGTATAGCAAACATGATATTTTAGGTCTAAGAGCACTAAAGGACTTCCCAAGCAAATATGATTTTATTCTCAGCATTAATACCATATAATTGCCAAATGCAGAGCATTCTAGTGCAAGGATTTCAGTGAATTCATCTATAGCCAGGTCTAGTTTTCCATTTCATCAGCAGGGGCAAATGACTTATGTAATTGCTATTCATTACTTGGGGAAAAGGAGGACTATAAGGCTCAAAAACGTTCTTGTGAATAGTCAAGATTTACACATTTTATGGCATAAGTGGAAAAGAGGACAGATATTGGAATTAGATGTTTGGATTCAGTTTTGACCCCGTCAGTATTAGTAGTGATACTGGAACGAGTTGTTTGACCTCTAAACCTCAGTTCTCAATCTGTCAAATGGGAAAATACCTCTACAGTACATGGATCAGAAGCTGGCACAGAGTTAACAACCTGCTAAACTGTGACTATTTTAATCATCACCATTGTCACTAAAATATATTCACCCTAGATTGTCCATCCCCATTGTAAAGAAAGTTATGTGTGGGTTACTGAAACAGTGTTGCATTTCTGAGTATACTTGGATCACAGCAGGAAGAACTACACTGGAGGGGATAGGCAGGGGCTGAATGGGTTGAGGGCTGAGGAAACCTGCCTGCGGCAAGAGTTTGGCATTTGGGCAGGCTGTGGTCTATATTCGAGGGCCCAATATCCACACTGAGCTCAGGCAGGGGCTGGCACCAGAAAAGGAAGGTGAGGAAGAGCGAAGGAAAATCCAGCAGCAGGAGCAGGAGGGTGTTGCCTAAGGTCAGGGGGAGAGGCAGGATCCAGACAGTGCAGGGCCTTGGCTACGGGGACAGCTCCTGGAAATGGAATTGGCCAGAGCCCTGCAGACTTCTGGGGCTTCCCAAAGAGGCAGAGTTGGGGACCAGCGATTTGAGGAAACCGAGGTAGAGGCTCGGGTAGAGTTGGGGATCAACGGTTGATCTTGTGCACACTGAATCTCTAGGTCAATTGCAGCAAGATTTAATTTCAGAGTCTACTGGTCAGTAGCCAGCGCGTGCTGGTCATCTCTCTACTCCTCTTGGGCACTGAGTTATACACAGTCTGGGTGGACTCAGAGAGCACCATGTGGTCCAGTGAGGCTGACAAACGGGTCTGAATCTTAGGACTGTCGCGAAGATCCAGTGGTTAAATATATGAGGCAGAGCTCGCTATTTCTCGGAAGTATCTAGGAAATTTTTCCTGGCCTGAGTTGTAGGGAATAGTTATTCAGGGAATTCTTTAAGTCAAAAACCCAGCAGAGCAATACAGGGAAAGAGGAATGATTCATCTGACAAACCAGGGAAATTGAAAGATTGTGTAACAGAAACATCACAACCGTGTTTTCAATGCTTCTCTGAAAGATTTACCAGTTTCTTTTTTGAAAGTTCTAAGATGAAAGGTATTTTCCATTATGCTCTTCCTGTAGTGGAAGCTGCCCAGAGAAGGCAATTTTTGTTTTATGGCTCTTAGTCAACTCTTTCAACTACCTCCCTAACACCAAGAAAAACTGATATAAGAGTCCGTGATTCTTCACTGAACCCAGAGCGGAAGTGGAAAAGCATTGGAATAAGACCCCTCCTTAAGGCAGAGAAAGATCTTGAAATCCATGGAGCTTAATGTTTTGTTGTTGTTGTTGTTGTTGTTTTTCTGAAAATACAGATATGGCTCTTTTTGTCAAAGCCAAGTAGATGGAGAAGGATGCTATAAGAATTGATATAAAAGCCAGAGATTTAACATGTATATTACTGAGACGTGTGTTTGTGTGTGTATATGGTCTTTAAAAAAGTATCTATTTGCCTTAACCAAACCATTTTTTTCAAGTGAGATTTTAGCTGGTATTTAGTTACCTGGTTCCTCTGGACCAAATTAAAAGTTTTGTGTGTGGACACTTAGGCCAGAAATAGGAGGGGCTTTCCCAAGGTTGCCAATGATGCCAATGGAATTAGGAGATGCTGTCTCCTAATTCCCAGTCTAAAGCCCTCACTGCCACAGTGTGCTGCCTTATTCTAGTGTCTTCTCACATTCCATCTTCTTCATTCTGAAAATTTTGTGATGTTCCCCACTTAAGCTGGGGTCCCCAAAGCAGACCCCAAGGCAAGAATTCATGTGCAATCCAGCATTGCAAAACAGCATTCTCAGGAACAACTTACAAGGTAGTATGGGAGTAGGAACTGGAAGGAGAGAAAGGCAAAGGAGGGTGTTTCCCACTTACTTCCATTACTGTAAAACCAGAGGTGCCCTTGCTGTTCTCTCTCTCCCTCATTTGGGTGTGGTTCCTTTTCAGCAGAGAGCTGGATCCAATTAACAGATCTCGGTAGATGTTAAGTACATGAATGAACAGTGTCAAGGATCATTCCAGCTAAAGTAATCTCTCTCTCCTATGAATCCTTTGTGGTCGCATCATTTTCTCTTGAATCATAATTATTCATATGCATGTGCTAAATCCCCTGCTGTTTTATAAACTCCTTGAGGTCAAGAATCATGTTAGACTCCCCATGACAGAGCCTAGTATGAGTGTTGGAACACAGTAGGGACCCAGGCAATGCCAATTGGAATGGTTGAAACATTCTCTCAGTGCTGATAGATGAACAGCTTGAATGCATAGTCCTAGACCAGACCAGGGTAGGATTTTTCATTTTTATTCTTGTTCACACCCACTCCTTTGGGACTACATCGTCTTGGACTACTAATCAAAATGATTGCAGAACCTTTGGAAAGCTTCCACGCCATGTGAATATTGAAGAAGATACACAATCCCAAGTGCCTGAGATGTTTTACCCTTACTCATGCTTTACTCTTCCAATGGCATCTCGAGTTGTTTCCACCCCCCAAGGGGAATAATTTCTGAAGTGTAAGAATTAATCACTCTTGCTCCCTTCTGGAAGTATTGCCAAATTAACGGCTTGACATCACATCTATCATTCTTCCTCTAAGCTCTCTCAGGCCCATTAGGATTGGGGAGTGTCCTGAAACATGGTACAGACTAAAAAAAAAAAAAAAAAAAACACAAAAATCTTGGGAATCAGTAAGTGAATCCAAAAATGTTCAGCACATAGTGGCATTTGAGACCCTGGGCTTGTTACTGTTTGTGTTGCCAGCACATGATGTTTGTATGGTTCAGCCATAAGGTTTGCACTGATACCATATCTCTTTGGGTCTGAGTCTTTAGAGTGGAAAATATCTCCTTTGGGCTGTAACACGAAGGAAAAAAAAAAGATTTTTGGATTGGAAATCATTTTGTAAAACTCCAGCAGTTTTATTTTGTCTAGACACAAGGCAATAAAAAGGGAAATCATCAGAGATGATAATAAGATGGCACGTGCAAGAGGAGGCACTTCCTGTAGAGCCATTATGGGGTGTTTTTTTTTTTCCACACATTCTGTGGCCTCATTTCTATACTCCCATCACCTTCTGCAAATTCTTTAACAACTCTCCTGTGTGGCCCAAGGGAGAAAGTGTTAACAGCTGTGGGCAAAACTTTCGCTGGAACAAAAAAATGAAATAAAACCCTAGGAGAAAATGGCCCACTGCCGGAAGACAAGAAGGGGTGATCGCCATTTCTGAAGGCCAGTTCCTATTTTTGTATGTATATTAACATACAAATATATGTATGGCACGAACTTCTTCTGGATCATCAAAGTCTCCCTTTGCCCTGTGTGTTAATTGAAACCAAGTTGTGAGCTCTGTATGCATAGACTGGAAAGGTGCTTAGAGATTAGCACTCCCACCCACACGACCCCTACAAGAGGAATGAGGCCTCAGAGGTGACAAGTAATTGAAATATTTGCTAGAGTCAAGGTTTTAACCTAGCACTCTGGAATCTTTCCACTACCCGGCATTATGCTATTCTTTTTTTTTTTTTTTTAACGTTTATTTATTTTTGAGACAGAGAGGGACAGAACATGAACGGGGGAGGGGCAGAGAGAGAGGGAGACACAGAATCGGAAGCAGGCTCCAGGCTCTGAGCCATCAGCCCAGAGCCCGACGTGGGGCTCGAACTCATGGACCACGAGATGGTGACCTGAGCTGAAGTCGGACGCTCAACCGACTGAGCCACCCAGGCGCCCCGCATTTTGCTATTCTTGAAACCACCTCTCCCAGTTTAACAATGGATCCCTTCTGTGTGATCAAGTCTCCACAATGTAGTTTGACCTCACTAACAGTGTCATAGTCAGGTAGAAAGTGAAAAATTTAGCTACTTATTATACGATGGCACCAAACACCCAACCTAACAAAATTATCTTTTATTCTGTATATTTATAACCGTGTATGTACCCCTTGTGGGCTCATAAAGCATCCCATTGGATCGAGGGATTTAGAAAGGTCAGAGGACTGTTAAAATTCATACGGTCTCCACAAATAAGGGTTCCCCAACAAAGAGGCCTGCATCATGAAACCGTTTTAAGAAAAATAATCCTTAATGCTGGTTTCATAAAGCTGATGCTTTCTTGGGAAAGTAGTGGGTTGTCTGTAAAGGTGACTTACCCAGGATGTGGCTAACTTACAACAGCTGTATTTAAAACACACACTCAGCCTTTATCCCTGAGGCTGGGGAAGAGATGGATGGTTTATGCTTTTGCTGCTCAGGCTGGATTGGTGAAACAGACCTCAAAATATACTAAGTAGAAGGCACACTCAGAGGCACTGAGCAAGGCCCATATGTGCAAAGACCAGTTCACACGCAAGATGCAGCAAACGCAGACTGAGGAAGTTTCATTTAGACAATTCTCTTTCTCTGAACATACCTAGTTTTGCCCCTCTGGGTACTATCATTAAGACATCGATGGTCATGAAGGTGTCCCAGGGTAGATATGCACCAGTTGCGACTCTATCGCCTACTAGGTCCGTGACCTTGTGCAAGTTATTCAGTCTCCTCAAGTCCCGGTTTCCTAACGTTGACAATGTGGATGATCGTATTTCTCATTACAAGATTGTCGTGAGGATCACATGAGATGGTTCCAAGTGTTCGGCACATAGGAGACCTAAAAAAATAGCAGTAAGAATGATTAATATTTACTGAGTACTTTCTACGTACTAGGCATAGTTGTAAGCACTTCACATGGATTAATTCAATAGATGATATTGTTTCGATTTTAGAGATGAGGAAATTGAGGCACAGGCAAGTTATATAATTTGCCTAGGATCACACAGTCCGTGGTTGTGTAGCTGGAATTAGCAGTCTGGCACCAGAAGCCCTTACATGTTAACTACTATTGTTACTGTATTCTTAAAATGATACAGGACAGATTATGACATTGTGTAGATTTCATGCAGCGTAGCTAATAATTTAACGAACATGCATTGAAGAAGGGGAAGTTTTCCAGCTTCGCGCAAAGGGTTCCAGGCTCGGAGTCTTTGGGGGAATATAAGAAGTTTGAGTTGCTAGTATCTAAAGTCAAAGTCACAGATGCAAATGATGTAGCTGGAGAAGTACCAAGTCATAAAGATCTCATGATAAGAAATTGTGATAAGGAGCTAAATCTTAGCCTACGTTTGAAGAAAAGTCAGGGAAGGGTAAGAGTCGGAGAAGAGAGTCTGGGTCCTAGTCACTTCTTTTGAACCCCTAGATCCAGCTGTGGCTGTGGTGTTTCTTTGAACTTACTAGTTATGTAAGTTAATGCCTTTTCTTTGAGTGCATGTGCTAGTTGGAGTTGAATTTCTGTCACTTGGAATGTAAAGAATCTTGACAAGAGAGATTAGGTCAAAAACTATATTATTTTAGGTAAGAAAATATGAAGGCAAGACTTAGAGCAGTGGTGGTATAGACCAAGAGAAGACCACAAATTAGAGAGCTAGTTAGTGAGTGTAAGAGGGTGATGGAACCCTGTGAAATTTTTTTTAAGGAATTGTCTCTCTTCCATTATGTGCTGCATTGGGAAAGCTGTTAATCAAAGAGCTCTTCCTTCTTTTGGCCAAGGGATGGGTCTGTGACAAATGTAGGTAAAAAGACCCTTTCTTCTAGAAATCTGAGTCTTAATAGTATAACTCAAGGATGGGGAGGGAAAAAACTTCCTTGTTCATTCATTTCAGGGGCAAGACTGATGAGGCTCTCAGGATGTTTCTCGTACTAAGACTTCTGGAGTTGTCTATTTCTGACCTATCAAACCTGATTCTTCCATCTGGTGAGCCACACCCCCCCTCCCCAGTTCCGTATGTAACCCCTCTTCTTACAATAATATTATTTATTTTTAAGTGTCAGCTGATCTTGCTTATAGTCATAGTCCTAAAGAATATAGAAATTGATCCAGGAAGGGAGAAGTTATAAGTGACCGACCAAAAATTGTAGAACTGGCTGAGTTGGATGAAAGGCAGAGAAGGCTTCTTTACTTTTCTGGGAAATATGCAATACTTTTCATGATGTTAGAATCTATTAGCTGTTTCTTGTGGCTTTTAGCAAAGCTGCATAGGAAAGAGACCAACCTAGACTGAAGGTGATCTACTGGTGAAAAGAGAATGATACCCGGACAAGATGGCATAGATTGTGTACCTCCTTTCTAAGCACAAGTATAAACCCTGTAAACAACATAAAAGAAAGCTGAAAGGAGAGCTCTTAAAGGTGGTAAGAAAAAGGCAAACTGGTTTAGGGCCCCAGGATTGGAGAAAGAAAAACATAATGGCAAGACTCCTTATATCTCCCACCAAAGAGAAAAAGGAAGCCCAGAATTTCCTGACTCCAGCCTAGCAACAAGAGGCATCCCACCTAGGCTCCTTCCTTCCAAGATTGAGTAGGAATCTCTCTGACAATACAACGTGAACTGGAAACAACCAGAAAAAGGGATTGATTTGGAGTTCTTCCTAGCTGGGTTTGAGAAATTTCTCCCTTACCCAGGGACATCAGAAAGGATGGGTAGAAGACCTATCCAAAAGAAGAATGACAGCCTGGGAAGTCTCTTTGACCCCAAGAGCCAGAGATACTCTTTTCCTACCCAGAAACAGTGACAGAGCTGGGAAGCATGGGTAGGGAGACCCTACCACAACAAGTGTCTGCCCAGGGAAGCCTCTTTGTGCCCACATACCTGAGACTCCCCTTTTCCACCACGAGACCCTCAGCGGTCCAGCCTGGTGAAACTTTCCTACCATCTTGGGCAGCACCAACAGGGAACTCCAATAATGACAAAAGTGACACTGAAAATGCTATGAAATTTACAGTATCATTGGAACCACAAACCAAGAAAGTAGGCCAGGACGTATCTGCATGCTTAATCTAAGCAGAGCAGTAAAATTAAAAGATTAAAATAGGATATAGAGTCACCTAATTGACACAGTGTCTAGGATACAACAGAAAATCATTCATCATACCTAGAATTAAGAATAATCACAACTCAAGTGAGAAAGAAAACCAACTGACACCAGCGCTAAGATGAATCAGACATTGGAATTTCATGACAAAGATTTTAAAGCAGCCAAACAAACACGACTCAACAATCCATTACAGATTCTCTTGAAACACATGAAAAAATAGAAAACTTCAGCAAAGAAGTGGAATTTATAAAAAGGAACAAAATGAAAATTACAGAATGGAAAAATATAAGATCAGACATTAGAAAAAACAAACAAACAAACAAACTTGTTAGTTGGGCTCCATAGTAGTGGGGGGCGGGGTTGATGAAAAATAGAATCCACGCACTTGAAGATGGATAGAGAGAATTCACACAATCTGTACAGCAGAAAGAAAATAGACTGACTGAAAAACAAAACAGAACACAACACAACACAACACAACAACACAGAGCCTCAGGGACCTGTATGACAATAGCAAAAGAGGAAAAGGGAAAGAAGATAAATGATATTCAAAAAAGTTAGAACTGAAAACTCCCCAAATTTGGCAAAACCAGGAACCTATAGATTCAAGAAGATGAGCAAATCATACACAGGATAAATCTCCCCCCACCAAAATCAATGTCAAGGTACAGTATAATTAAACTTCTGAAAACTGAAGACAAAATTTTTAGTTTTCAAAATGCATTCAAGAGAGAATGCAAGCTAGCGAGAAACGAGACATTACTTATTGAGGAAAACGAATCGGAATGACAACAATGTCTTGTATGAAGTCACGGAGGTCAGAAGGCAGAGGCACAGTATTTTTCAAGTGCTAAAAGGAAGAAATGTCAACTGCATAAAAAGCAGAAATGGGACTTCACCCAGTAGACCGTCTTTCTTCTCTGGAGTTTCATAAACCGTAACTGATGATTGAACAAATATTCTAACATATCAAATACTCAGGACGATGATATTGAAAAGTGGGGAAGGTAAAGGAGCCTCCATGGAAGAAAGTTGCCACACCTCCCTTGAAGTAGTAAAATGTCGATGCCAGTGGAATGTGATATGCCATGTAATTGTTGACCAGGAGTTCCTATTGCTTCACATCCTTACCGGCATTTCATGTGGTCAGTATTCTGACCGCATGTGGCCATGTGGTAGGTGTGTAGTGATATCATGTTTTAATTTGTCTTCCCATAATAACATATGATGCTGAGCACCTTCTCTCTCTCTCTCTCTCTCTCTCACACACACACACACACACACACACACACACACACACACACATACACCACGAATAATCACAAGTAAACTGGGGAACTCTGAATAAGATTGGTAGATTGTATCAACATCATTATCCCGGTTATGATATATTATACTATGAGTTTGCAAAATGTGAACAAGGGGGGAAATGGGAAAGGTGTCTGAGGGGCATCTCTGTATTATTTCTTACAACTGCATGTGAATCCACAATAATCACAATATTTTAAAAAGTAGTAAAAAAAAAAAAAAGAGAGAAAAGGAGGGAATTTGGTAGGAAAATTCTACCTACAACCTGAAGTCTAAGATAAATGGAGACCCAGCTATTCCAGTCTTACAGTACTATAAAAACATGCCCCCCCCCCCCCCCCGCCAACCAGTCTATTTAGCGTGAGCAAAGGCAGTGACCCAAGCAACATGGCAGGAGATTGAATTAGGGCTTGAAGTTTGATGCCCTGGGTGGCCATTGTTTCAAACTGGCCTTTGACTGACCAAGATACAGAGCACAAAGCTGAGGGGGTGGGGACAGAGAGATGCCTGCGGCCAGGAAACAGAAATTCCCAGCCCAGTTTCTGGATTCCAATACTTTGGCTTGATAAGACTTCTCGATTTATTATTTGCCCCAGGAATTGCCTCAAAACAAACAGATGGTGGAGGCCCCAGATGAGGTGGCCAAAACAAGGACTCTAGGCCAGGGACTCCAGGGCATTCCTGCTCAGCAGGGTCTCTATCTACTGAGGAGCAGTCCCTCTGGATGTGACTCCCCTCTCCCACCTTTCCCAAATGGGAAGTTAAAGCTAATCGTGGACACTTCAGTTAAATGAGCCAATGTGTTTCCTTTTGGCTTACACAATTGTTTTGTTTGGTTTGATATCACTTGCAATTGAGAGAGCCTTAACAGATACATTGATGATCTACTTTATGCTCAGCAACGTGTAACTTACAGATGTGTAGCAGTACAGCAATGCAGAGTCATTTATCCACACAGGGGCGTCCACACCGAGGCACGGACCAATAACCTACCTGTGTACACACACACACACACACACACACACGCATACGTGCACACATTACTGAAAGAGGCAGTCACTCAGGTACAGAAAGATTGGTTCCTGGCGGCATACGTGTGGGCATACAGAGTAATCCCCTAGAAGAAAAACTATTTGAGTCATCCTCTGCACCACATGTTGGGACATATCATTAGCCTCAGAGTATTCAAAGGCAGAGATGATGCACTTATTGTAATAAATTAATGAATAGATCTACTTTTTTTTTTTCTGAGCTTCAAAAGATGATGTGGGATTATAGCATAATGAAGGTTTCTGCGGTTCAAAATCTGCTAATTAGGTTGTGGGCTCAATTCAATACAGCTTTGGTTCCCACAAATACAATCAGGGCCTGGATCTCTATGAAGGAGTCTCCACGGAGCTGGGTTCCGACAGGCTGCAGACTGCT